TGGACATGTGGGCAGGGAATTGAATTTTCACTTGGGTGGGGAAAACCTGGAAGCTTTCAGATTCGGGTTTTCCCAAATGTGCCAAAATGACATCTCTAATAAAATGGAACTTTTAGGAAATTCAAGCCTCCGAGTCTTCTTTCCTTGGGGGTGTTACTGGGAACCCTGGCATAATGCATGCCAAGATTTTATCTTGGGAGGTGTTTTTTTTGCATCTGCCTTCCTGTGATGACTCATGTTCATCAAAGCCATTCTCTGTATGCTGCCACCCAACATGTTCTCCCCACCATCCGACTTTGGTTTGTGCAAACGCTGTGCAAGTCATTCCATTTTTAATTTGAAAAATAAAACAACACTTTTAAACAACACACCATTCAGGACTGCTTCCACAAGAGTAGCTGGTGGTAGTTTGAAAACAGGCCTGAAGAAACAGGTGGCAGCTATCTGCAATTTCCAGTTATGGGAAGCAAATCATCAAGTAGGAGACTATGAAATATGCTTTGTACTTCACTGCCACCAATCCTGGGGTGCTACATTCATGTGCTCCAAAGAAATAGTAATGGAATGAACGGAGCAGAACATAACAGGATAGAATTCTTGATTGGCCAAGTGTGACCATTTTTTAAAACCTTGCCATGAAAACTGCAGGGATTTGTCCAGGGAATCATCAAGACTGACTCAAAGGCACACCTACAAGATATACAAAACCAAAATGAATTTCACTGGGATTTAGTATATTGCCATAGGCTACACAATAAGATATAATACAATTTGCTTGATTTGGACTTAGTCACTGAGCTTTTTAAAGTATGAATTATGGTTTTGCAAACCGTCGTTATTAGGTAATATTCAAAGAGCAAGTCTTTTTTAATCTTTTAAGTCATTCTGACTAATTTGCATATGTGCCTATATCAGAGTGAGGAAAACTCTACGAACAAGCAAAGAAAACTATCAGCATTTCCATCAGAACACTTTTTTTTTTAAAGATTTATTTATGAACATTATCTCTTGAGGGACAACAGCATCTCTGCACTTCTCTCTGTACATGCAACTATAGAAAATAACACCTGTATTTGCTTTGCCTCTTTCTGCAGG